GATGACAGAGAACGCAGGACTCAAGGTCTCCTTGTCATTCCGACCATGTTGCGAAAACAAGATCTAACCAACATTTTAATTATATAATCTATTCCCTCTTTCGCAGTAGTCATGACAATTTCCAACATCTAACCTTAGACTTGATAAATTCTTAGAGGCTTTGCCGGCTCTGTCAGTGAGTCATGTAAATCTTAGCACCAAACCGCATTTTGTCAAAGATAAAAGTGAGGCTCATCCCGTGAGCAACTTTATAAGTAATATTTCTGGTTTCTCTCCTATCACTTATCCCATATCCTCGTACGGCCCATTTCATTACCAGAAATTGGTTTCTCTATTTTCCTCTACTTCAAAGGTACGCTCTTTTGAGCTGATTAGCGGGTTCTCTTCACACTCCCACTGGTTTCTTCATCCCCATCCTATTATCCTGGTAATGTTGATCCAACTTGACCCTATCAGTCGACAATTTACTTCATCCAGGTCCTATAAGATTCTCCTTCTTACCTTAAAAGATTCATTTCTCACCATGATTCAGTGTTTTTACTCGGCTTCTGCTACCATATCTGTGTTAATACAGGCATTATCTCTTATTATCTGCCTTAGGCATTTGATATACTTTATACTAGGTAGCCTGCAAAGTTATATTTTCAAGTTGGGTGGTACACTGACTTAATACTGTATTTCCCTTATGTCAGTTTGGTGTATACATTGGGTGAACCTCATTGTCATTCCTCCACTCCGTGGACCACCTCCATGATCAAACACGTGTATATTGGGTTTCCGTGTTTGCGTTTCCTCGTATTTTTTTACCATTTTTGGCTAGTCTGTTTGTTGTCTTCCACTCGATTCAATGATATATCCGTGAAATGCGTTCTACTATTTCGGATGAAGGAAGTTTCATTTAAGGAATGCAATACCATGCTGCTTCATTTACCTTTGTAGTTTCACTATTATTGCTTCCCCGATCCAAGCAGAAGCATCCGCCTCGTACCACTACAGTCGCATCAATTTGTCCTCAGCTAGCCAACTGACCAGCTACTCTTTGGGAGGCATTCTTCATACATGACACTACACTCCTCTCTACGAAATAGTTGGGAAAATAAAAATCAAGTTTGCTCTTAAAAGTGTACATAATTTCTGTTTCAAATATAGCAATTTTTGCATATACCTTTGGTCCTCCGGAAAAGTGTCCTCCATCGTTTATGTAAGCTCAATATTAAAAACTGGTGCATTTATATCGCAAATTCACCCTTATGTTTGACTATGTATAGTAATTCCTGGTTGTAGATGTGTGCGAATAGGTCCTCGGCGAACCCGATGAATCCTTGCTGAATTTTTGTCTGTCATGTGACGAACATCGTCAGAGCAGGACACCACGCTTAACGATAATTCACCAAGCATAAAGGCAGGAAAGCATGGCGTTTTGCTCTGATGATGTACGTCACATGACGAACGAAAGCTCAGCAAGATTTCATCGGGGTCGCAGGGAAGTGTGCCTAAGACCTATTCGCACAAATCTCCAACTATATATCCAAGGCAACCCCCTCCACAGCCTTCGATGAAACCAACTTACGAATCCCTTCCATTCGCCTACTAAAACGAAATGAAAGATACTTCAACATGAATCTATTAAAGAATTCTTCGAAACAGTTTTTATACATGCCTACGCACTACGTACGGATACCAATGTTTTCAGGAATCATCACGTTACACTACGACCAAGAATGCTCTGGCCCGGCAAGTGAATCATATTCGTTTTTTGAAATTGTGTTTTTCACGTATGGCTGTTCCTAGGTTTTGTATTATTGTTAGACCATATTCGCCAAATAGATCTATACGAGTCCTTCAGAGGGTATCTTAGGATTTAGATTATATTATGACACTAGAAAACATTGCAAAATTACACTCCTTGATAAAGTGGAAAACGAGTTTACGCCAATCATTGGCAAGCACTCTTAGCTCGAAAGATTTCTCTAAATTAGAAAGAATGGCGGACAGGTTGTATGATATTATTTTTCAGCAGGTTAGATTTAGACAAGATAAGAAATTTAGGAATTTGGGTAGAGTAATTAATTATATGATATGTATTTACCCTATTTCGTTTGAGGTGATGAAGGACTAGTAGAAGAATTTCCCCACAATAATATGAGTAGAGCTGACGTTTCCCTTGAATTTCACAAAGCCTTGCTTACCCAAAAGTTGCTCTCATCAAGGGTGGACAGCAGTTTCGACTTTGCATATGTCTTATCAACGGGAGTAGAACGGTGACAACCCGGCATGTGAGCTTAAAACCTTAACCACTCGGCTACATTTCCACGAAAACCTTATGATCACAGGGCAGATGTGAATTCTAAGGAAGGCCTTGCCTTTTCCCATATCACATTTGGTGGAATTGTCAATGATGCAAACATATTTTTGCTATAACAATCGCCTACATTACTTAATTTTCGTATATAATTAGAGTTTCGAGACTACCAGTAAATCAGTTTTACGAAATGTATTCACCCTATTTCTTTTAAGAGCCTTTTGGAAATGCAAGGCTCTGTGAAATTCAATGAAAATGACAGCTTTACTCATATCAGTGTAGGAAAATTCTGCCACCAGCCCTTCGTCACCTTAAACGAAATATGGTAAATACATTTCATATAACTGATTTACTGGTTGTCTTAAAACTCTACTTATATATGAAAATTATAGGAATCAAGACAAAATACATCTATGATAGACAGTAGTGAGCAAAGGATAGTTGGATATAAAGTGGTAAATCTCTCCAAAACTGCCTTGGACTTTACCACCGAAAAAGTACTCTCGAAAGGTTTGAAATTTGCTTTGCCAAACATCAAGATAATAGACAGGAGATTCTGGTGGAACTCATAAGTTTTACCGGCCATCTTCCAGAAGAGACTAGAAGTGATATTGAATTACAGGTCGTTCCTTTAATTAATAGCCATGTAGAAATAAGACTCAGTAACAAGAGAGTGAAAAACATCATAAGGAGACTGGATAATGAGGACCAAATAATGTTGAGAGCAAACAAAGGAGGAACAGTGGTAGTTATGGATAGGCTGAGGTATGCAGAAAAAATTATTCAGGCTTTGGATGATACTAACAAATGCAAGGTACTCAGTAGGGACACTACGGAAACCATTAAGTCTAGACTCAGGGGTTGCAGCATTGTGTAACAAACGCCAAAAATACACAAAGATGAGGTGCCAATTAGAATTTTTGCTAATAATAAGGGAAGCGTGATGCATAAGACATCACGATTTATTTGTAACCAGTTAAAGCAAATCTCTGAGACATGGAAGCTTTTAATTCGTTAACTTAGTCGACGAGCAGGAGATAGAAAGTGAAGATTTGCTTGTAAGTTTTGATGTTGAATCTATGTACACTAACGTGCCTGTATATGATACCACACTGGTTCTACAATCCAAACTAGACCAACATGCGGAGATTTTAATGAGCATGAAGTTACGTAAAGGATCAATAATAATACTGACCAATCTAGCGATGTACTGTACATATTTTACCTTTAATAGTAAACTGTACGAACAAACGCCAGGTTTAACTATGAGATCGTGCTTATCAACAATTTTAGCGAATAATTACATGGCTCAATTTGAGAAACACTTAATTCAAGAGGCGCTTTTAGTTTCTAAATTATAGTTCGCTATATGGACGATCACTTTGCTATTTGGCAACGTGGCAAATAAAACCTGGAGAATTTTCTTGGTTCTATGAACAGGATCGATTGAAAGACGAAATTCACCATCGAGTTAGAAAAGAAGGGTGGTTTACGTTTTCTTGATGTCTTAGTTAGCAAAAAGCGGACCACATTAGGTCGAGATGTGTATAGGAAACCCACAAGTGCAGATTTCCCTTTGAATTTATTATCCAACTACAATTAAGGGATTAAAGTAGGAGATATGAAGTCTATGATAATAAGGAGCCTGCGTCTAGCATATGTTAAACCTTGGTACCAGAAATTGAGGAGACTAAGGCGAATTCAGGTTGAGAATAATTATCCAGGAGGGCTAGTTGACAACTACTTTAGAACATTGTCAAAAAGAATGAAGGGAAATACATTTTTGGGGCTAGATAAAAGGATAAATCATTCTACCAGGATCCTTATGCTGTCATCGTGTAATCTGTCGAAGAAGATAGGCGAATTACTGAGGAGGTGAGGCATCAGGACCAATTATAAAGAGAAAATAACTGTGCTCGGTACTGGCTTCTTTTTGAGAATACTCTGACCCGCTCTCCAGATCGGGCTGTAACAAGATTTTGTGTTCATGTGGTAGTGCCTATGTGGAATTGACCTGTAGGCCGATACATAAGAGGTTATCCGAACACAAAGCAGCCTGCAAGGGTATGTGAGTCCAAAAATCGGAATTGGCTGAACACGTGACTCTCACAGGACACCAGATAGATTGGTCTAATGCCAAACGCTTAGCTGGATATGGAGAATATACCAAACAGTAAGCGAAAGAATAGGGAGACGAAAGAAAGCAACAAAACAGCCAATAAACTGAATAAAATGAATGAGTATAGTAAGTTAGGTAAAAACTACTTGTGGCCGTTGGATAGGTTTAGAGAAAGAGAGATGGGGTAACTAAAAGTTCCATCGAGCATGAGGAGGAGGCTTGATTAGGATGGAATTTGGTTTTGATCCGTACATCACACTCATTTCAAGAGCATTCCACTCACACAACACGTGTGCAATGGGACGCAATCACATGCGGTAACATTGCAGGATCAAAGGCATACGTATTTTAGGAGAGGATGCAGCTGTTCGGTTTCAATTACGCCCATTTCACGCTTCATCCGCAGCCACTTAACTTAACTAATGGACAAATATAGAGTCAAAGCATAGGACATCCAACCAAAACTTGAGATGCATAAGTGGACCAAATTGGAATATATGAAGGAAGTAGGTTTTAAGCCTGCCACTTTTCTTGGCTTTGTGTTTTTGCTGAACTATCTTTAAGCATGACATCCGTCACATGACGGGCGAAAGCTCAGCAAGGATTCATTGGGGTCGCAGGGCGGTGCGCCGAGGACCTGTTCTCACAAATCTACAGCCACAGCTTCAAGGCAAGCCCTCCCCACAGCCTCCGGTAGAACCAACTTACGAATACCTTTCACTCTACTCTTCAAACGAAATGAAAGGTACTTCAACATGAACGTAGATTAAAGCTAGCGCGCCCAGTTGAATGGGCTTTCAAGGCGACGGCACCTACTGATCAGTACGACAAAGGGAACAAGCTGGTGAATTTATCCTTGCTTCTCCTTGATCCTAAAAAAGGGATTTAAGTTTTCTCTTCAAAATGGCAGAAATATTTTAGAGGACATTCTGGTGGAGGCCATCGATGCCTCCGACAAGTTCCCTGAGGAGACAAAACGGTAAATGGAGATGGAAATAATCCCAAGAATCTTGACACGTTATAAACCAATGCACAAGAAAAGATTAGCGAGGATACAAAAAAACTTAGAAAGGAATGAACAATTGGTCCTTCAGGCGGACAAAGGTGGAGCGACAGTTGTAATGGACAGGAAATAATACACCAAAAACATGGAATGCATACTGCAAGACAAGACTACGTATCGTGTACTAAAGAAGGATCCAGCTATGAAGATCAATCGGATCTTACGGGACATGCTGAAAAATAGGCATAGGAACGGTGAGATCAATGGATGAACAGTAAATTCACTAATAAAAAAGGATGCACGATCACCAACAGCTTACAGGTTGCCGAAGTTACACAATGAAGCAGAACCACTAAGTCTGATAGTTTACAACAAGTATGGGGCAACACAAAAATTAGCCAAGTTCATAAGTTTGAAACTCAAGAAGGTAAACGACAGATTGTCAAACACAGTAAAGCACTCATATGCATTTTGTCAGAGGATCAAAAGCATGACACCGCAAGAAACAGAATTACTAGTACAATCTTGCACACAAACATTTCTGAAGCAAGGGCGATGATGGCCCTGTTAAAAATTTTGGATCGAGAAGAAGATATCTTAGAAGCAGAGAGTGTCCGAAGGGAGTCATCAACACGATTAATTAATATAAATGGGTTGACGCCGTTGTCGCAACTTGGTCTTGTTGTCAGGGCGACTATGTAGAACGCACCTAGTCCGAAGTCGTCTGGCATATTAGTTGTCATGATTCCCAGCATCTGACAGTGGACTTAATACATCCTCAAACGTTTCGTCGGAATCGTAGTCGGCATCATCAGCGAGTGCTGCCATTCTTCGCTACAAGCTACGATCTCGTCAAAGAGACAAGTGATATCAATCCCTCGACAACCATTGTAGACAGAACCGTCCCATTTCATTAAAACCATTAAACCACTTAGATCTGAAACAAAGTCTCAAAGAATGTAGGATACTTCGCCCAATTTTAAAATGAAATTATTCTATTTAGGTATTCATGGTGTC